CACATAGGCTTTTATTTTTAGACACAGCCTATCAGGAGATGGCCAGACTGAGGCATATCTCCATCTGGGTCCCAGGTTTCGAGTGCTGGGCTCAAGGAACAGAAGAAAGCCAGCAGGGTACTCCTGCAGCCTGCGCACCGATCCGGAGCTGGTTCCCAAAGGGGCAGGAAAATATAACCTTGGGCCCCAGGAGAGGCCCGCAGCGATCACGCCAGGCCTTTCTCCTCCACGACAGCCTTAGTCAGCTGATAACGTCAGACCAGGCGTCCCCACTCAGTAAGTGAGGAATTAAGGAAGGAAGCAGGATTCATGAGGCAACCTAAGTGAAAACCCCAGAAATGTCCCTTTAGGACTCAACCCACCGTCATGAACTATCAGAGAGAGGATCTAACATCTAGGGAAACCGGAAATGGGCAACTTGGACTAGAGACTCGAACAGAGGAGAGGGAACCGTGGTTGAGGTTACAAGGGGAACGGGAGTAAATATGCCAAGAATGAAATGAGAGAAGGACCAAGGGGTCTTTGAGGAGGATGCAATACAAAGGAAGTTGACCCCAACCCCTGAACAGAGGCCTGCTGGGAATGGACATTAGGAACCAGTGTGTTCCTCCTTCTGTCTAAGGCGGGTCAAAGGGCAGCCCTGATTCAAGGAGGAGCCAGGCTGGGGAACTTGGAGAGCGACGCAGCCCGGCGTTTACCTGGCAGAGAGCGGGCCTTCTCGGGCAGCAAGTGCTTGTAGGTGTTGAACAGTCCCGCGTCGGAGATCACGACAGGGCAGTGGATGTCCACCAGCTCTTGACCTTTCTTCACGGTGACACCTGCAGGCACAAGAGCTTGGCTGGGGTTCTGTTTGTTCCAGGAGGATGAGAAAGGCCCCTATCCCCGCCAGATCTCTCCCCCGGGCAGGCGGACAAAACTGCAAAGTGAGGGCAACATCCTCAAGCACCCCCAGGGCATCCCACAGTCACCCCCACTTGCTTCCAACCCCCCCACCCCTGCATGGGCTCTCCTCTCTTCACACGAACCCCAACGAAGCTTGTGGGCTGGAGGCCTTTGCTGGAATCCCAGGCCCCTCCTCACCGCTGCCGGAGCTCTGGTTCCAACGCTCTCCTTAACAACCTCCAGTGACACCTCAACCTCTATCAAACCCCAAAGCCTTGTATCGGCCTTCCATGACATGGCCCCTCCCGGGCACCCAGCCTCATCTCTGGCCATTCTCACCCGACTATTAGGTAGAACTATATGAAACAGCTGGTAGTCGACCATGTTTTTGACCTATAAATACGGCAGTTTCTTATGATTCAACCTAACATTTTCAGCTTTTTCCTACCTCTGTGCCACCGCACATTCTATTCCCCCGGCCTGGAACAACCACCTACCTGCCCCTCTGGCTTCTCCTCCCTCTTTGTGGCCTCCCTCTGAGGCCTTCCCTGCCACCATCCTCTGTCACCTCCACCCTCAGCACGTGCCCCTACGGGGCATGCCAATTATCTTCCCCATGAACTGGAAACTTCTTAAATGAGAGATTAGGATTTACGTATCTTTTATCTCCACCTTTTATCACTTAGCACATGAAAAACACAAATAAATATATTCGGAACTGAATTTACTGAACCGATAAACCCACCTAGCTTCATAAGCCCCTTCCGGCTGGAAAAACTTGCTCATGAAAAGGAGAGAGAGTCTCACACAGCTGCCAGCTGCCTCTCCTTCCCCTGGCAACTTCCCGGACTCCTCTACAAACACGTCCTCAGAGATCTCCCTTGAGTTTTTCAGGCACTGGGCCACCCACTCACCCCCTCGTCCCTAACAGATTCCTCTGGCAAATTCACAGTCACACCAGTCCTCTTTTCCTAGGGCCTCCTCCGTCCCCGTCCCTGATGCTTCTTAAGCACCACCCCCTCCCCTTTCTATTTAGTGGAGTCCATCCTTGCATAGCGCCTCCCCTCACAGAGTTCGCCCACAGGGGGATTCTGACTCCCTGCAGGTGACCCCAAATGCCTGAGCTGGGACAGTGAGTGTCATTTATAGATCGAGGGCAGGGCAGCCTGCCGGCCCGCACATGCCCCATGGAGTGCCCAGGTACGGACCCGCTCCACTGAACGTTTGCTGGGCTCCGTTACCTAGAATCTACAGACACAAAGATTGAAAAGACACAGCGCCTACACCCAAGAAGGCCCTGGGTTACTGGATAACGATTTTTATCTATTGAAAAAATGATGAAATACTGTTCTCTGGGAACCACGCAATCCTTTACCCTTCCTGTGTCCTTTTTAACCTCTGAACCGATCACTATTTCTCCGCCCCAGCTTAGGGGCAGATTCTAGCTTTTAAGCTCCCACGAGGAGGTCAGCTCTTCTGCACCTTCTGCCCTCACTGCTTTCTTTTCTCTGGGGTCTCCCCTCCACTCCAGCCCAAGGACCATGAAGCCCCATGCAGGCCTCTCACCACAGGCTCTCCCAGCTGAGTCCAGCAAGATGCTCTGCACAGGGGCCCTCGTCAGGACAGCGCCCCCAGCCCGCTGAATCACAGGGATGGTGTGGAAGGCGATTTCACTGGAGCCCCCTCGGGGGTAAAAGGCCCCTTCCAGGTAGTGGTCAACCAGCATAGCATGCATGGAAAAGGTCGCATAGCTGGGGGTCACACCTACAAAATGAAGGAAGGGGTGACGAGGCAGGAGCAGGCAGCAACACCATTCAGGAAGGGACACGGTTCCCATCAGAAAACACGTGGCCTGAGGCTCTCCACCCCAGGATCCAAGTGATCCCCAGAGAAGCCAGAGGGCCTGTTTCCATCAAAACGTGGGGAACCATGCTGGGGCCAGGGGGAATGTCCTCCCTGCCAACTGCCAGGCTGCTGGGGAGGGCAGTGGTGGTTGGGAACAAAGGTCATCCAGAGCATGGGTGAATGGCCTTTTCTCCAGAGCATCCAGCAGGGAGGTGAACAGACGTCTCCTCCCTAAGCTCCCTAAGCTCCCTGGGGTGAGTGCTGCTCCATTCCAGTCAGTCCAGCAGGTGCAGGAAGGAAGATTGAGGGAACGGCCCAGGGCCCCAGGCTGGTACCCACCGTATGTGGGGAAGATGTAGCTGAGCACCGCCTGGAGTTCCCGGGAGGCTGGGAGCTGCTGCAGGACCTCGGCCAGGCTCTGGGTGGACGCGCGAAGGAACGGAGAGAATCGGGTGAGCAGCCTGCACTTGCTGAGCACCTGAGCCACAGGCAGCGGGAGGATCTTCAACAACAGGGCATGAAGGACTCCGTTGGATACCACCTGGGGAGGAAACCGGCAGGGAGGAACCGCCTGGCCCCCAGCAGCGCTGTAACAGCATCTCCTCTCCAAGAGCCTGCACCGGCCGAGGGCCCTGAAACACTTACCTGGCTGAACTTGGATTTTTAAAACTCTGTACTGTGAATTTTTCCCATCCTCCCCTCATATGATTCCTTTTTGGCTTTTAGTTTCCTGCCCAAATTCCTTTTGAAAAATCGCAATCTGGTCTCAGAGGAAGTGGAAAAGGGCGCCTATGTGACCACAGCCTGGTGAGGGAGGAGAACAGGGTGCCCCCAGAGGCCGGAGTGAGCACTGCAGCTGCTGAGCCCAGGCTGCAGAGACAGAGGGGCCAGCTGCGCACAGAGGCCAACCCGGATTGGGGGCTGAGTTCCAGACAGACATGCCTGCTCCTCCTTCCTGCTTCCCTCACCAGTCACTCCTCTAATGCGGAAGGTCAGCCTTGTCGGGACTAGGCGGGGGTCATCAGCGTGTCCAGCTTACCTTCACCAGCTTTATATACTTGTCGATGGCAGCTTCTTCCTGGGGAAACTTGTCCTTGAGGCCTTGAACGTACGCTTTCTTCCCACTGTACATGGGAAACTCCTTTCGGCCGCTGGGCCCTTCTAGTACCATGATGTCAAAGGGTGAGGGCAAGGCAGCCCAGTCCAGCTGCCCCTCAGTGATCTGGTCCAAGGTAAAACGGCCAAAGCTGTGCTCATGCATGCGACCAATATAATGGATTCCTGTTGGGAGACAGAAAAACAAGGCATCATAGAGATAAGGCGACTGAGCCCTGAAAGGCTCCAACAAGGAAGCAACGTGAAAGACGTCGTCCTGGGGGAGGGTATAGCCTAGTGGTAGAGTGCATGCCAAGCATGCACAAGGTCCTGGGTTGAATCCCCACTCCACTAAAAAAATCAGTAAAAAGCTAATTATCTCTTTCCCCAAAATAAAAAAATAAAAACAACAACAACAACAACAAAAGAGTTTGTCCTGCAGGGCTGAGTCCACGCCTGGGGGGGGCTACCCACCCTTTCTGTAGAGGGTAGTTGCAGCAGAAACCACCAAATCCCTGCCCAGTTCAGCTCCCAGCAGATATAGCTGTCAGACAAGGAAAGTGGTGCCCAGGGAGAGATGGGGTCCCTCAAATCACAGAAATGCCCATTATCCCGGACCCTTTTCCACAGAAGCCTTACCCGTGTCAAATTCAACGCCATTCTGTCTAAAGGTATGACAACAGCCTCCTGCCTTGGTGTGTTGTTCCAGCACCAGAACTCGCTTGCCAGCTTTGGCCAGGATCGCAGCGGCAGCCAGGCCCCCAAAGCCGCTGCCAATCACCACCACATCTAGCTTCTCTGGCACCAGTCTGGCTGAGAAAGCTGCAGCACAGGGGAAGAGACAGAGGGTGGGCTGCTCAGGAGGGACAGTGAAAGAGCAAAGATGTGGAAACCAAGGCAGAATCCTCTAGCTTGTACAATGCAGGAAAACTCTAGAGCAGCTTGGCTCGGACCTCCCAGCTAGAATATCACCAACACTTTGCTGGGAAATGCTCAAGGCCAGCCAGGCAGATTAAACAGAGTGATTTGGTTTGATCAGAACTGATTTAACCAAAAACTAACAAAATAGAAAAGAACTGATTTAACCAAAGCCACCTATGTACCTGGGGATTTTCCCTACTTTCAAAGAAAGTAAGACTCGGGAAATTATTATAAGAAAAACAAGCACCAAAAAAATCTGACAACAGTGGGGGGAGGGTATAGCTCAAGTGGTAGAGCGCATGCTTAGCATGCATGAGGTCCTAGGTTCAATCCCCAGTACCTCCTCTAAAAATAAATAAACCTAATTACCTCCCCCCACCAAAAAAAAAAAAAAAGAGGGAAAAATTCTGACAACATAAGCTGAGAAACCAAAGTCCAGACAGAGAGTGAGCTAGGGAAGAAACAATACAAGGAGGTGGGGGAAGAGGGAGTGCCGTGGGGCAGGCTGCTGGCTCAAGGAACTACCCCATTCACAAGCAGGTTATCTTGGGAAAATGTAAAGTCTGCAGGGAGAGGTTGGCCAGCCCGGTCACATGATGGTTCTTCAACATCCTGATGCAGAGGCGTGGGCAGCACAGAGCTGCTTGGAGGCTGCTGCTCTGAGACGTCACAGCACCACCCCCTCACACTGGGGAAGCCTGGAGGCAGGGTTGAAGGGGCAGTACCTAAACAAGACAAAACTGGACAGCACGTGGTGCTAAATGGGCACTCCCCACACAAGGTCTGTTCTTTAAAGATCACTCCTGAAGAACTGAGATTTGCAATCTTTCAAGCTGCTAGAGAACTTGGGAAACTTTTAACTTTTCAAATGTTTTTTTAAAAAAGACTTAGAGTGAAAAACTGCATAGCCGTTTAGCACGCTGTCACTAATTTCCTGCATGGCCATTAACAAGTCACTCCAAGGTGCAACGTACAGCTCAGTGGTAGAGTGCATGTCTAGCATGCACAAGGTCCTGGGTTCAATTCCTAGCACCTGTTTAAAAAAATTTTTTTAATAAATAAATCTAAAATTACTTCCCCTCCATAAAAATTTTTTAAAAGGAAAGGAAAGAAAAAAAGGAAAATTTTTAAAAAGGAAATTTAAAGAAGGGAAAAATAGTCACTCCATTGTCTGGGTTGGTCTGAAAATCAGATAATTAGTTTAACTGTTTTTCTTAACTGTAATCACTTGAGGGACCAAATGCAATTTCCTATAAAGGTTTCTGTGTAGCTCTTCTATGTACCTGAACCCTTGTGGGAAGACAAATTAAAAAGTTAAAGTCTTAAAACCAGTAAGAGAAAGGTCTCTTTATCCCGTGAGCACGGGCCATACTAAGGGCCGGGGCCTGGACCAGGCTATGCCCAGACCTTTGCTCACCAAAGTCCTTGCCCAAGATGGTGGGGCCATAATTCCCTGGGTCCCAGTGGGCAGCAGCTCACCCTGCCGGAATGGGAATGCTAGAGTGAAAAATACATTTCATATTACGTCCCAGAATATATGTTAGTATATAACATAAATACCTGAAACAGAAGTTTCACAATACTTACCAGAACTATGTGTGATGCACTCTGATGTTTTCAACTCTACTTCACTTAAAATGCTAGTCCCAACCCACTCAGTCGATTTCATGACCCACTAAAAGATCACAACCTGGTGTGAAATACAGTTAAATTAGTTATCTCATTTTTAGACCAACCCAGATAGATAATGGAGTGATTTGTTAATGGTTATGCAGGAAATTTGTGACAGTGTGCTTAATGGTTATGCAGGAAATTAGTGACAAGTCCAATTAAAACTGATCTCAGCAGTTCCGACCAACAGTCCATTCACTCAGAACAGTACCATCTCCAACTGTGAAGCAAGACTTGTCACACAGAATACTAGCGAGGGACCCAGGAGATCAAACAGGGTAAACTTTTTTTTTTAAGCGGCATAACTCTTTCTTTAAACTTTAGAAGGAAGCCCCAAACACTTTTTAAAGATGACAGAGGACGTCCTTTGGTCAAAGAGCAGACTCTGTTGGGCGTCTCCCAAAGTTTTCAAGCCAAGGTCCAACCAGTCAAGTCGCTCGATGGACCAAATGCAATTTCCTATAAAGGTTTCTGTGCAGCAATCCCACGGGGGTCTCTGAACCCATGTGGGAAAATAAGTGAAAAAGTTAAGGTCTTAAAACCAAGTGGGGGAAAGGTCTCCAAGTAGGGGAAAAGCCAGTGCCCGCGCCGGGGGAGCCATGATTCCCTGAGCCTGTGCGGGTGAAGGCTCTCGCCGGTGGAGGACTCTAAAGCGGGCGTCTCCACCTGCAAGGAAGCCTTTTACTTCTGGGGACCCTGAGGCCTGGGTCGGGCAGCAGCTCGCCCTGCGGGGATGGGAACGCCAGCCCGCGAGGATGCCCGGGCGCAGCCTCGGACCCCGGGGTCTCTCCCGCTGACCTTGCTTGAGAACCTTCTTCCTGGCCTCCTTGTCGGTCACCAGGGGCGCGGGTGGTCGCCTGACATCCTCGAGGAAGGGATTCGGGGAGCCGCCTGCAAACAGCCCCTTGTAAACTTTGCGGAGGACCGCCAGCAGCAGCACGGCCAGCAGCAGCAGCAGCGACAGCCACATCGCGCCGGCGCCGGACGCGGGCAGCTTGTCGCTTCGGACTGCTCCCGCGGCGCCCCCGAGGCAGCCTGGCCTCCCAGCCGGGGGGCGGAGGCAGCTTGGACCGCTGACCAACCAGCACTCTTTGGGCGGGACGCCAAGCCTCCGACGCAGATTGACCCTCCCGGCTCCTCGTACGTCCTTCTCCCGCTGCGCGGGGGGGGGTGGGGCAGGTAGCGGCGTGCGCATGCGCGGAGGGGGCCCGGAGGGGATGAGGGACCCCAGTCCGGACAGAGCTGGGAACTCGGGGACGTGTCCGAGGAGTCCTGGGAGTCCTAGAAGGAGGAATGCGGGGTGGAAGTCATCGCCCTAGGGCCAGACGAGGCTGAGAGTTGCAGGACAGACTCCCGACTGGCAGACGGGAGATGTGGGTTATGGTCCGCGCTCTGCCGCGGACTCGCTGGATGACCTGAGGCAAGATGCTTTCCTGTTTCCCCAACGAGCAGTGAGAAAGTTTCTGTCTGGAGGCCCCGCGCAGCCCCTGTCTGGCTGGGTGTCTCGATAGATTGAGATCTCTGTTGAGATTCGCACATCTCAGCCGGCGAGTACTCGGCTCTGTGCCGGCAAAGTGGCCGGTAGTTTCGGCCGTGGCGCCCCCCAGCCCGCCGACGATGCCTGCGGTGGGGGCCTGATGGGGGCCAGAGAGAGCAGGGAGCTGGCCGGTGACAAGCCCAATGAGAGGACAGCCCTGCCCGTGTGCGCATTTGTCTTTAAGGTGTGGAGCCAGTTTCTAGATTCAATACTTATTCCAAGAGTGTAAGCTTCAGCAAGCTTAAACTTAAAATCATTCCCCTTAATGCAGCTCCTTGCCTAAAGTGGATGCATCTTAAAAATAGCACAGGGAACTATATTCAATATCTTGTAGTAGCCTACAATGGAAAGTAATCTGAAAAAATCCATGTATATAGCATAACTGAATCACTGCTGTACACCTGAAACTAACAACATTGTAAGTCAACTATACTTCAATTTTTAAAAAGTGGGTACACCATAAATCCTTAATTTGGAAAGGATCTGTCCTTAAGGATGGCCGTTTCCTCAGGCCCAGCTATAAGGAACCAGTAGGAGTGACTCTGTAACTTGTACTTGCTGTTTGACAGTTTCTGCTCTTTTCTTCCTCTGATACAGGTAGTAACTATTTCTATTGGAGCCCCCAGCAGCGCTCTAGCCACAGCTGAGATTTGCAGGTGTGTCAAGCTGGTCATGCTTCTACGCTTCTTGATTCATTTCGTGCCCAGTAACAGAAGAGCCTTCTTGAGATTGCTGCTACCATACCTGCCTCTCACCTTCCCAAGGGTGGGTGATACGTGTTTTGTCATATGCTGTCATGGAAGTCAAGGGGGAGGGAAAGGAAAAGGAGGCAGATACCAGGACCCCAGAGGACATGGAGAGAGCTAGATCCTGGGATGCCATGACTAAACCGCACTGCCCTTCTCCCTCAGTTACCCTGGGCCAAATGTCCAGCCCAAAAGCCAGGAGATATTCCTGCTCCTGGTGTTAGGAATCAGTGTGTCCTGCCTCCTGATAAAGATTCCAGTTTGTCACCTGCAGCCAGAATCCAGATCGTTTGCCCACAATGGAGGGCTGACCTCAGAGCCGTGCCACCCTCCTTCTTCAGTCACCCAAGTCTATGAGGTGTGCCTGTCAGTTGTAGGTGGGCCATCTGCCTGTTTATCCGGATTTTTGTTGTGACGGGCATCCATGGTGTCCAGTTCCCTGCGGTGAGGTACGGGCCTGTCCAGACCTCTTCCTAAGGTCACGTCATAGGAGGAAAGACTTAATGTTGACCAGACTGTCTAGGCAGCTGTCACATGTACGATACTGGTGAGAACTGAGGAAGGGTAGGCATTGCGTTGATTTTTGAGTTTCTACCATCAAAGGAACCGAATCAAATGTCAGGCCCAACCTGTGCTGAGACCTGAGCAAAGCCTGAGAGTTTCAGCTAAGACCATTCAACAGCGTGCCACCCGTTAGCCTCAGCCTCTGATAGGCTGCCCCAGATCCCAGTAACTTCACATCAGAAACAGACCCCACCACTTACCCTGGGGCCCTCCCTCCTGGGCACTGAGATTCCAGCCCTCAGAATCCTGCAGGGACCTCTTCTTTCTGTTCAGTGACAGGGCAAGTAAGAGAAAGGCATTTGACTAAAGCAGCCTGTTTATTCAGAATATGTTTACAGCTGCCTAAACATTTTTAAAGTCAATTTTTCCCAACAGAGCATAACTAAATGATGAAACCAGTTTTCTTCTTTAATTTTTTTCCAGGGCTGAGGCTCCAGAGACCTCAGGGACTGCTTTCAATACTCACAGAAACCTACACCCTGGTGATGGCACAAAGGGACTGTTTTCTTGCTCTTAGTCTGAATGCTGCCAAGAAGGAAGGCAAAGATAGGACAACCAGATCTCAGGCTGTCCCCATAGCTTCTAATCTCAGACCTCATTCAACTCCTTTCTGAGCCCAAGGACAAAGCTCTCTTGAACAAATGATTTTGAGTCATGAATGAAAACTCTTGCTCTTTCCAAAATGAGAAAGAATTAAGAGATGGAGAGGTAAGCAAGCGCTTCTCTTCGGGAAATAAGGTGTTGGTTTGGGATATGCTGTTAATGGTCGTAAGACAGAGCATCTATGAAGACAGTGTGGAGCTTTAGAAATGTTTAGGGAAAATCCTCATGTAGTTCTCTTTGTTCGCCTTTCGTCACTTCTGGATCAGTTCCCTTTCCTGATACCTTCTTCTAAGTGGGTTATGGGATTTTGGTTTGGATTTGCTTGGGTGGGAGGAGAATTTCAACACAGGATTCCCCAGAACATTTGTATTTCATCGATTTGGATTGTTTACCTTATAGGCCCTTTCTCTCTCAAACACCTACTTTGACCTGATTATCCTCAGGACCCTTGGTTCACTGTGCTGTGTCTTGTGTGAGCCTGGCAGGTACCTCTACATCCTTACCTTTCTCACTACCTTGCCCAGAAACAGTCTTAAATGGAGCCTGTGGGATTCAGTGGACAGAATGGGGACAAAGTCTTTGCTTCGAAAGCCCAGGAAGGTTTTCTTCACTGTGCTAAGACAGGTGAACTGGTCTTCCAGAGGGGAGTCTTTGGACACCGGAGGGGACTGAGTCGGAGAGGGAAAGAGGGGATGTGATGAGTCCTGAGCACACAGGCCATGCAGGAAGTTGTTCAGCACGATGAATCACCGGATATTTGAGACCGTACCTTGTGCCTCGTGCTGTGCAGATGGGTGTGAGAAATACAAAACATATCCGAGGAGGTCCCTGTGCTCAAAGCAGCCGAGTCTGATTCGGGAGGCGGGTCTTTTGCAGAAGACCTGTGCTTCATACAGAAGGGCTGTAGGACTTAGAGAAGGGAGGGCCCATTTTACCCCCAGTTGGTAACGTCATCCCCCCTGAGAAGACGGAACTGATCTCGATGGGACTAGAGGACACAGAAAGTTGGGGCGGGGGGCGGTATTCTGGGGGGAAACCACGTGACCCAGGGGATGGAGGGCAGAGGAACTGCAGGAAGTGTGTTCGTTGGGTTGAAGTGGGAAAGAGTAGTATTCAGGCATCGTGAGCCAGTTGTAGAGGAGTTTGCTCAGCTGTGGTGTGTTTGGGTGCCCATTCTTGTGTCCCAAGCATAAAGAAATTTTAAAAAATCAAGGCTGTGTTTAAGGAGTGTTAATTGGCGAAAACACGTAGGAGGGTTTAGAGTAACGGGACAATCTGGGATTCCAAGGCTTTGACATAAGTGATGATTCCTTTATTAGTTATTTTCTTTTAATAATTATTTTTCCTTCTGTTTATTTTGGAGAAAATAGTGCATTCACATGGTGCAAAATCCAAAAAGTGCAGAGGATGCACATATAGTGAAAAAACGACCTTCTGTTCGTGTTCCCCCAGCCACCTCCTTTTTCCTTCTGGAGACAAAGTTACTACTTCCTTGGATGTAATTCTGGAAATAGTCTCTGCAAAGTCAGGAAAATATATTTATGTGTTTTTAAAAAATACAAATGGCTGGTATTGTTTTGTTTTATGAGGGGGAGGTAATTAGGTTTCTTCACTGATTTCCGTTTGGAGGAGGTGCCCGGGATTGAATCCGGGACCTCTTGTGTGCTGAGCATGCGCTCTGCCACTTGAGCTATACCCTTCCCCCTGGCAATACAAACGGTAAAATAGTATATATACTCTGCCCTTTGCTTTTTTACTTAATGTAGCATGAAGATTTGTTTCATATTGTCTATAAAGCACTTTCTTATTCTTCTTTATGGCTCTATAGGATCTCATTGAGTGGATATGCTTTAATTTGTTTACAATTAGTCCATTAATGACAACTAGAACTGTCACGGTGATCATTTTGAAATATATAGAAATACTGGGTCGCTATGTTGTATACCAGGAGATAACACAATGTTGTATGCCAATTATACTTCAAAAACAAGCAAACAAACTCATAGAAAAAGAGATCAGATTTGTGGCTACCAGACGTAGGGAAGTAGGGGAGGCGGAACTAGGTAACGGGAGGCAGAAGGTACAAACTTCCGATCGTAAGAGAAGTACTAGGGATGTAATGTACAACATGATAAAGATAATCAACACTGCTGTATGTTATAAATGACACTTGTTAAGAGTGTAAATCCTAAGAGTTCTCACCACAAGGAAAAAAAAATTTTCTGTTCACCAATGTTGTATTATATGAAATGATGGATGGTCACTAAGCCTACTGTGATCATTTCATGGTGCGTGCAAGTCAAATCATGATGCTGTACACTTTAAACTTACACAGCGCTGTGTGTCAATTACACCTCAGTAAATCTGGGGGAAAAATTAAAAGTCCGTTAGCAGGCATTTAGGGTTTTCCTAGCCTTCTGCTATTCTAAACAGCACTACTTGTCAATCACACTGTACGTCGTTTTGCACAAGGATGAGTCTGCCTGTTAGTTACATTTCTGGAGTGCAATTGTAGGCCCAACATATAAACAGCATGTATGATTCCGTCAGGTATTATCGAGCTGTGGAGGTCGTAACAGTTTGCTCTCCAGTGACTTATAACTCTTGGCCATCTATCCAGCGCCGCGTTACCACGCTTTTTGATCTTTGATAACAGGATAAGTGAAAAATATTATCTCAGAGTAGTAGCATTTGACATGTCTCTTGTCATGAGTAAGGCTGAGCATTTTCCCATACGTTTAAGAACGATTTCTGTTTCCTTGTGTGTTAACTGCCCACATCCATGCCCATTTTTCTACTGGGTTGGTTC